CAGGGCCGGATTTACCTCTTTTCGTGACATAGGCAAAACAAATTTTTGGGCCCCCCATCCCTATTAATATAATAGGCCTAATATTACCACCAAAGCAAACAAAAATATTTCTTAATCAGTGGAAACCGTTACAGTGTTTTCTATCACAATAAGCGCTTGCGTTCAGTCAATAAAAATCGAATGTAGTTCTTAATTTGTTTGAGAACTGAGAAAGACCGTCCCAATAATAGGCGCAGCGACGTGGCCACATAACCACTTCAGGAGTGCATTATTTCTATAATAATTTTAATGGCCTGGAGTCACAATCACACATCAATTGTTCAGATGATTTGTTCCGTCCTGAAATATTGTGTGCTGAACTAGCTAATTTTTTACGCACCTCATCCCAAACCTTCCATTGCAAATTCCAAAACGTTATTTTAGAGCTAATTACAGAGGTTTGAGCCATTGATACGCATGCTAACGCAGTTATTAATGCAGTCTAACGCATCATATGACCCCTTTAACTTAAACAAAATATATTTTCAGTTAATATTTTAACAAAATTACTCAAACCTTAACTAAAATTACAAAGAAAACAATACAATAAGATTTAACTGGAAAATAAATTAATAATAATAAATAAATTTCAACTAATTGCCAAGGCAACATTTCTCATTTCCCAACATAATGTACTAAAATAATTATAACTAAAACAAATTTAAAATTTATATAAACAATACATATTAAGAAATATTTTAGAGCTAATTACAGAGGTTTGAGCCATTGATACGCATGCTAACGCAGTTATTAATGCAGTCTAACTCAGTTATTAGAGAGAGAGAGAGCGAAAGAGAGGGAGAGATTAAGTGCGTGTGAATACTTGATTGTTGCGTCTGTGCGTCTCTCAGCAGTGTTCAGCAGCAGCAGCGTCTACTAATAGCGAATCTTTAAGTTGAACTGCATCAAGAACCTCGCTACTGAGAAATGTCATGTAGCTTTTCAAGCTGCGAAACTCTTTTATTGATAAATTTGCGGGTCAGCCGCAGCTCTGACAACAAGTGTTCGCGTCTCCGCGTGTGTGCGCGAGTGCGTGTCTGTACTGTGTGTGCGTCTGTG